CCCCCGCCCGGCGCCCCGCAGCCCCAGCCCATATCTGGGCAAAATATTCGGCTGTCACCAAGCGGGACCGAGCGGCAGCGCAGCGGCTCTATAAATAGCGCCCGGCTGGCGCTGCTAGCGAGGCGTCGCTGCAGGGCCGGGCCGGGAACGGGGCACAGGGGCTGGAAGCCGAGGAGCTGCCCGGGAACGCCCACCTGTCAGGGCTGCGCGGACCTGGGGGGTGTCCCGCTTTGCCAGGGGCGCGGGGACTGTAAGTGATGGGCCCCTGGGCAGTGCCAGACTGGAGCCCATGGCTGGGTCATCGATCCCAGTCCCATGCCTCCCCCAGATGCTTGAAAGGGGAGTAGGAGACTCCGTGCAGTTCTGGGCTAGCCTGGCCCAGGGAGAAGCTCCTCCGAGCCCCAAAGCAGGCGGTTAGAGCCTTTAACAAGCTCTGGTTATTGGTTTAACTTTTACCACTGAACTTTACCAGCAAGTGCTCAACGCTGTTCTGAACCCTGCTGAGCTCACGCCTCGCCCGACAGTTTATTTTCTATTTGTTTCACTTGGTATAACACGTTGGATCCTCAGCCCTGGCAAATGCCCTAAAGAATGAGCCTGACAACAATTTAATGAGGCACAAGTTAAATTATACCCGCACTTCCAGAGAACCTGATAGCCACAGTGAAGAGGGACTTTCATGAACATTAGCATCGGTTCCAAATATCCATGAAACACACAGATCCCCAGCTCTGCCCTTCTTGTGCATGAGGTGCCTAGTTTATTTGTTCCGTTATTTCTGTAAAGCGCAGCTGTTCCCTGGACTTAATCTTTGCCGTTGATAAAATCGTCACTCCCAATTTTGATTCAGGGCTTGCTGCCTGTGGATAGTGTGATGTAGAATCCTATTCACATGACACATCCATTTTCTGCTTACAACTCTTCCACAGAACTTACCCAGGAATAGTATTTAGATCTACTTGATCAAAAAAATCAATCTGTTAAGATGATGTAATTTGCGAGCCTGTCCTTGTACTTTTGGTCATTGTCAGTGGTGTTTTGTTAGTAAATGGCTTGCAGAAAGAGGACTCTCCTTCATGTTTAGTGTGTTGAAAGTGTAGAGCACTTAGTGTAGATTGATGCCACTTCCCCTCCCACATCTTTGGGAATGTTAGGAGCCAGGTCCTAACACCCCACAAAGTAGTGCATTGTGATTTATTACCCATTATTTCTTGAGCACTTGTTTTGATCTGTGTCACAGTATTCATATCAAAGGCAATCTGAAATAATTTTTCAAGTAAGGTGTCATGAATCACTGTGTTGCAATCACCCTATTCTCTGCTTCTGCTAAATTTGTAATTCCTTCCCCAAAAGCAATTCTTTGTGATTTATCCTTTGTAAATCCATTGCTGGTTTATTGTCCATGATTTCATTCTCTTCCAAGCACTTGCAGATTTTTTAACTCAACCTGTATTTCATTATTATAGTTTGAATTCATGATTTAGCTTAATTAAATATTATAGGCCAGATTTTCTACTCATTACACCAGTTTTCTGTGGGTGCAATTCCCGTTATTTCATGGAGCTATGCTGGTATGGAACCAGTGTAACAGAATGGAGAATCGGGCCCTGTACTTAATTACTTACAAGCTATTTTAGTACAAAGAATTTTAATTTTAGCTCTGCAGTTCACCTGTAATTAGAATGTGTGCTGCTGCAATGCCATAATCCGTGTTACTTTTCAGCTAAGATCAGACATAGCAGCAGGTGTTTAAGGACCCCAGTAATTAATCTCTGAGGTGCATTCGCTTCAACAGTTTCTATCTATACACATGTATCTTATATACATATATTCCATTTTAATGAAATGTGTTCCAGTGGAATGTGCCAGTTTGACAGCCCCTCTCTTAATCCAGAGAACAGGCATGGCCATTCAGCATTAATGTGCTGGGCCAGATCCTCATCTGCTGTAGTGCCACTGATGTCGACTGGCTTGGAGCAACACCAAGTTACACCAGCTGAGGATCTGCCTCTTTACCTTTGCAGTTCACCCTATGGTGCAGTTCTAGTCTGAAAAGTGACATCACCTTAGTGTGTAAACTTGGGCCTGTGTATATTCAGATTCCTGTACACTTATGTTCCTGGCTAACAAAAGTTTTTATCCCTGTAACCCTTCTGCCAAGTGGTGTTGGCAGCAAGAAGAGCCAGGTTTAATAACTGGGGTGGGAGGGCTTAGCATTACAGAACAGAACCATCTTGAGCCCCCTCCCAGAAATCTGGGAAAACTAAACACCACCTCTGGGTGCTTCTAAAGCTACATCTACTCTAGAGGATGGGGTTCTGGTTCCCAGCTGGAACAGACATACTCTACTCCTGGGGGAATTCTACACCAACAAATTAAAAATTCTGCACACAATATCTTAAAATTCTGCAAAATTCTGAATATTTGTCAAAATCACACAATATAAGCACAATATAAGTTTCAATTATTTTGGCAATTTATTTCAAAATATCTGTCAACAAGTATGTCTGCAACAATACAGACAACAAAAAAAGATTCAGGAAGTGATTTTGATTAATATATTCCTTACTAGGCATATTAATACAGAACTCTGAATAATAACTGCAGCACCTCTCCAGCAGAATGCATTTTCTATGGGGGAGAAAAAATCTGCGGGGGACATGAATTCTGCATGTGTGTAGCGGCGCAGAATTCCCCCAGAAGTAATACTCGCGCTAGGTCTCATTGAGCAGCAAGGTCTACAGCAGGGGTCGGCAACCTTTCAGAAACGGGGGGGTCGAGTCTTTCATTTATTCACTCTAATTTAAGGTTTCGTGTGCCGGTAATACATTTAAACATTTTTTAGAAGGTCTCTCTCTCTGTCTATATTATATAACTAAACTATTGTTGTATGTAAAGTAAACAAGGTTTTCAAAATGTTTAAGAAGCTTCATTTAAAATTAAATTAAAATGCTGACCTTACGCCACCAGCCCGCTCAGTCCGCTGCCGGCCTGGGGTTCCGTTCACCTAGGCCGGCAGCGGGCGCTGAGTGGGACCGGCAGCCAGGACCCCGGCTGGCAAGGGGCCAGCAGCCAGAACCCCAGACCGGCAGTGGGCTGAGCGGCTCAGCCTGCTGCCGGTCTGGGGTCCCAGCCCTGCCCACATAGAGTGGGTACCTACCTTCTCCCTGTTTTAGCCCATTCTCTTCCTCTCTTTCTGCACTGAGCTGAGGGTGGGAGTGCACTGAGCACAGGGCTGGGGGTGAAGGAGCAGGTTGGGGTGTAGGGTCTGGTGTCTGACGCTCGGGGGAGGAATGCTGGGAGCGAGGATTCTGGATTCCTAGGTTTCCAGCTGGGCTCTAGTTGTTCGAGGGGGTGGGGGACGGACGGAGACTAGGGCTCCGGACTCCTGGGTTCTGCCCTCAGTGCCGGAGGGGAGCAGGGTCCAGTGACCTGGGGTGGTGAAAGAGGCACGACCCAGCTGTTCCCAGAGTCCAGCAGGCGGTGAGCCGCAGCCCCCGGGCTCGGGTTCGGGCTGTGGGACGCGGCCTGCCCCAATACAGAGACACCAGCCCCTTCCCGGAGCCCAGGAGTCCCAACTCCCACCCCGCTCCCTGCCCTGCCCTAGTACAGAGCCGAGCTCATCCCAGCACCAGGGCTCCAACCCCGGGGCAGCCTGCCTGAGTCCAGGGAGCGGGGCCAGCCATGCTCATGGCAGGCGGGCGCACGGCACAGCTGGGACCCAAGACTCTTCCCCACTTACAGGCCTCGTAGGCGCTGCGACTCCTGTGGGACTGGGTCCCTCTTCTTACCCCCGCCGGTGGTGCCGCTTCCCGGACACGCTAACCCGGAAACACAACCTCCCGCTGGAAGTGACAGAGGTCAGCAAAGCATGTGCAAATGCCGGCGGGAGGGGCGGAGAAGAGCGGGCTGGGCCGGATTTTTAATGGCATGCTGCTGCCTGCTGGGGTCCCGGCCGCCGGCCCCGCTCAGCCGGAAACAGGCTGAGCGGGGCCAGTGGTCGGGACTACGGCAGGCAGCAGTGTGCCATTAAAAATTGGCTCACGTGCCATCTTTGGCACGTGTGCCATAGGTTGCCTGGTCTACAGCATGGGCTAGCTGCCCCAAGAACAAACCCACCTGAATCTGATGCTTATGAACTCTGGGCAACTAGCCCATGCCACTGCTGCCTGTGCTACCATGGCTACACTACTGTTGTTGGCACACTAGCTCAGCTGAGAGCTAGCATGAGTGTATCTATGCGAGCTGGGAATCGCATCCTTAGTTTGCAGTGTAGATAGTGTAACTGTAGATTAAGAGGCAATACTGCCCCTTCACAGCACTGAGTCGTGTATAACAAGTGAGAACTTTTAGTAAGAGGAGAGGGAACACCTCAGGCCGCCTCAGTTCGCCTTATGGTAAGGCCAGCCCAGCACAACAGTGACCCAAAGTACCTCCTGCTTAGTGACTAAGGTTCCAGTTAGGATGACCCCTCTAAATTAAGGCACAATAAATAAATTAAAATAGGCATATTAAGTATAGGTCTGCTGCCCTTTCCTCATACAATAATGATAACATCATTTCATTACCCCTGCATGAAAGACTTAAGTGAATTTTAACCCCAAACAGCCAAATTGATCACTTTGGCAAAGCATGTGTGCAAATACGATCTGCTCCTGAGGTCTCTTCCCCCAGTTCCTCAATGGAAGGCAGGGGAGAGCTCAGTCAGACCTCTGCTCACACTCCTGTTAGAAGAGCAGACGAGCTGAGACACTTCTGGGGAGCTGGATCTGTTCTGGCCTATGCATCGTACAAGAGGAAAGGAAAGTACAACGTGAGTCAGTAGGAGCCCTTGGTTTGCATGCAGGG